TGTGTGTGTGTGTGTGTGTGTGTGTGTGTGTGTGTGTGTGTGTGTGTGTGTGTGTGTGTGTGTGTGTGAGGAGGGGACCGTCAGAGCACTGCGGGGAGGAAATCAGACAGTTCAGAGTTTTCCTCATGAGTTGTTGGGACAGCTACAGGTTTTTTGGGTTTTTTATTAAAACACAGATGGTGTGTTTAAGTTTCCTGTTATTTTTGGGAGCTACAGGTAAAGTCTTGACGAGTTTGTCGCGGGTCTGGGGGAGTTTCAGCCCCCACCCCTTCTCCTCCTCCTCTCTCTCTCTCTGTCTCTCTGTCTCTCTCTCCCTCCCTCCGCAGCGAAATTCAGGCTCTAGTGCTCCGACACTGCAGCAGCCGCGTTCTGCTTTGAAACGTTTCTTTAGCTACGAGCTCTCATGCTAAAGCGAGAGTTGACTCCTCCCACACTAAGAAAACAGGAGGGGAGGGGTCAGCTGAGCTCCTGTGTAGCGGAGCACAGAGAGGGAGAGAGACGAAGTAAACAAACAAGAAGGAAAATGAAACTTATCRTCCTGTTTTTTTTAATCGACCTCAAAAAAAGTTATCGTGCAATTAATTGATTTATTGTCTTTCGCGACAGGCCTAGTGTAAAACAGACTATGAGGTGCCATTACACAGTAAATTTGAAAGTAAGTTTAACACTTCAGTGTTAAACTCTTTAGTGTTGCATTAACATTACACAGTAATTACTGGATAAATGTAATGGAGTCGACCTTCACACACCAGGAAGTACCTCTCACTCATGGTGTCGTTTTATGGTCAATAACACAAACTTAACTTGATCAACTGATAAAACCGAACAAAACAACTAGAAAAACAAAATTTTACTCTCATGAACGTCTTTAATAGTCATAAACATACAAACACATCATTTCTACAAGATTACCCAGCATTCCTTGCTGTGAAAMTACTGGTCTGTCTGACATGAGGTGGAAGAGGGCGGGGCTTTTCAGAATACTGCTTTCAACACTGCATGGTGTCGTATTACAACACTGTTAAGTGTTATATAAGACTTAACATTGGGCGGGGCTTATTTAACACTGTCCAGTGTTGAGACAACCCTGAGGAAATCCACACTGTGAATTTACACCACACTGAAAGTCAGTTTACTCAGAAAGTGTTAAAATAACACTAGKAGGTGTTAAACTGACTCTGAAAAGTTTRACACTTTTACTGTGTAGAAACAGAGTAGTGGAACAAACAGTGGAGAACAGGTACCTTGTCGATGTCCCGGATGTTGACGTTGACGTAGGTGGCACAAAGCAGACGGACCCTCAACAGMGTGTTAAAGGCCCACAAGGATCGAGGAGGAGAACCGTCACCTCCACCCGGACAGGGAGATGGCTGAGGCGTCCTCCGACTGAAAGACAAACACCTGACATTACCCAGAGACCTGCAGCACACCTGTATCTGACCCTGGTCATCTGTTGCTGACACCTGATCGACTGGTTTACCTGTAAGAAGGTGCGACAAAGCTAGAGGCAGGAAGCTGGGAGTAGAGACTGTCTTTGGACACAAGCATCAGGTGAGGAAGACGTCCTACAATGATACATGAGCGAATGTACTGCAGACAAAGGCAGATTAATTAGATATTTAGTCCGGAGAGACAGCCGAAAGGTTTGTGTTTTCCAAAAGAAGAAATTACCTTATACTGACTGAGAGGAAACTTCTCCAGTAGGTACTCATCACAGCCACACACCTGAGAGACACAGAGAATCACAAGTGAGATGAGTTTTAACAACACATACAGGTGAGACATGCACATAGGTGAAATATACCCAGGTAAAATAGGTGGACAAGTGAGACACACAGATAAGACTGGTGAGATGCAGATGAGCAATGTTGTGCACAAAATGTATTCAAATCAGTGCATTCATAAACAAAACTGTTCCCTTTGATTCACTCAGCACAACACAAAGTATGGGATACCATGCCTCCACGTGTCTGAAGACACCTCTAATCACATGTTTAGGATGTGATGACTTACAAGTGACAGACCCCACTAGCACTATCGGGCTGTCATCACGGTCACTTTGCAGTTCTTGATCTCTTCACTTCGCTACAAACACCTGAATGGTTAGCTACTGCTAGTTAGCTTAGGCTGCTCCACAGGGGTCTATAGTGCCAACCCCACTTCCCTGAAAACATTGTTCTAAAGGCYGTAATGACTATAATGTTATATTAAAAATATTGACCAGATCATCTTTGTCAAAGAGAATTTGTTCACAACTGACTTAACTGTTGAAATAAAGGTTTATATAATGTTAAAATTTGGGATGCCCCAGTCTACCTGTTCCTGCTGCCATGGTCATCTTCATACTAGGCTACCTAAGTCTGCTATGTCCTGCTGAAGTGTGACATGACAAACAAACCAATAGACTGTCAGAATAGTATACTTTTCATCCAACCACAATCAAATTTACTCCATCCAGGAGGCTCCATCAATATAAATAGGGTTTTATTTTTTGATCAATGACAAGCCAGTGTGAAAACAAGCCAAAGTGAAATAGAAATAAAATACTTCTTTTTTGAAAAGTAAGGAATAAAAAGTACAGATAATTGACTGAAAATGTGAAGAGCAGAAGTAAAACRTAGTAAATTTGACCTAAGTAAGGTAACAAAGTATTTATACTTGGTTACGTGACACCTCTGGTTAGCTTTGTATCTCGCAACGATTGCTCAGAACCAGCTGAAGTGCTTTTGTTGCTCACTGCTAATTGCTTGTTAGTGTGTCTGCCCCAAATCTCTGCGTTTGAGTTTTTCCTTTTCTCTGTCTTTTGTGGTTTGGAATTAGCATGAAGCTAACACAAACGAAACGAAGGTCTTCAGTTCAGCCGTGTCTTCAGGGATATGGTTTCTTGCTTTATGTCTACTTGTATCATATTACCAATGGACAGTATTTGTATCTGGAGCATTTCACCAATGGAACCATCTTTGGCAGTGTAGCCCCATCCCACAACAATGGTGTGAGTAGCCCAACAACCCTTTCATTTAAGCCCCGTAGAGTGCAACTTTGTACACTACCACACATACAGCGGGTAAAATAAGTATTGAACACGTCACCATTTTTCTCAGTAAATATATTACTAGAGGTGCTAATGACATGAAATTTTCACCAGATGTTGGTAACAACCCAAGTGATCCATACATACAAAGAAATCAAACCATAAATGTCCAGAAATGAAGTTATTTGTAATAATGTGTGCAATAATATCTTTGCCACATCCTGAATAACTGACAATCTACACTTAAACTGTTGGCAGAATGTACAGCAAGTTGGAGTAAAAAAAACAAAATTTTAATGTTTTAATATGATTAATATGTTAACGTGTGTCATTTTGTTCAGTCCCTCAGTATAAAAAACATTTTTTAATATATTAATAAGCCATTATATTCAGTCCCTCAGTATAAA